TCATCTAGCGAGACGAAATTTCATATGATTTTGATTTGGTTTCACCTCTTCACTTAAAGCAATGATCTAAAACAGTGAACAATGCACGAAAAGTTAATTAGTTCTCCTGACAGAGGCTCGAACCTACTTGTGCCTCTCAACGTTTGAGAATTATCGCCGTTGTTGTGCTCAGGCCACTCAAGGGTATTCGTAACCAGATTGTGGGATATTCTTAAATTCCGCTTTACGTACTGGCAACTGAAAACCGTCCGTTCTGCTGTTCTGAGTCACTGTGGTGGGCATCGTAAGTAATGGTGTACAGGCAAAAAAACATTGCGGTGATCAGGACCTACTATTGATCCATCATTGCGCGAGTTCTGGTTCATAAAAGTCCGTGTCAACCGTTCGATTTTAGACCTTGGGTTCGAAAAAGATGTGTAGACACTCGGTTCAGCTAAGCCATTGAATGAACTATTAGAAGGGCCCTATGTGGTTTCGCCGTCATTATGTTAGCACTCGGACGCTGGTTGACTGATCTCGACTAGGCTGTGCATAACGCATTGCTAGCCTCAAGCTTCGATTATCCACCATATTCGGTGTCCCGGATGAATAAAATCGCCATATTCATTGGTTTTTCTATAAACGTTAAAAAACCTGTATTTTCTACCCATAAACCTGAAGGCACCCCTCAAGATTAATGACTGTTAGCTTGAAGTAGACAAATATATCAGGGCGAGACGGATGTCAAGAGAACTGCATCCACGTATGCCGTGCATCTGTCCGGTCAGTCCTCTACGACCGTCAACGCTGGGTCGTGCGCGTGAAAAAGAGGCACAACGGGCTCTATTTAACCATCACTGCCTGAGGGCCACCCATCAAATGAAGTATACCGACTTCGTGCCAATCTAGACCGTCCGTACTCTCTGCGCCAACATCGCAAGGGTATATCAGGCCGTCCCAGAAAAGCGGCTGAGGTTGCACGAACCGTAATATGGAGCTTGGACGCATATTTTCACAAGGTGTCTTGAAAAGTTTTCAGTGCCTCCGGTCGGACTGTGGAGTACTTACTTCACACAGCTGTGATCATATATGATCTAGCCGGCCTCAATGCTGTCACAGACGGTACCTCTCTATGCACGATGATTAGCGACAATGGATATGGAGAGCTCCACCCATTCTCTTCGTCAGCGACGGAGACCGATCACTGAAGGTCCAAAAACCGCTTCCACGTCATGAAAAACCGTGTCGAGCGAAGGCTTAAGTTGCCATCCTTTTCGAAGCCTCGAAGTAGACTGTGGCGCCAACTCGAAGGCCACATAGCAAAACTGGTGAGGTGGACGATAGAGAACGTGCCAAAACCACCTCAGTCTTTCTTCTTAAATGCCCTGAGATATCCTCGCGATACGGTCGCAATGAGTGTGGACTGCCTCATTTAAGACGAAGTCCGTATATTTCACTCTAAGAATGGTCCCCAGGCATCGGTGGTCAAAGACCTCCAGTCCTTGCTTATCTTCAGCGCACACAGTCCAGCATTCACATCCCTAGAGGAGGACTGACCGGATGGATGCACTGTATACACAAATCTTCGTGACGATGAAGATGTCGCGTCGGATCTATAGGCGCTTTCGAAGGATTGAGAAAACCCAGCAAGCAATATCGATACGGGGGACAATGTCGTCCTTGCTCTGCCCATTCGGTAGCTGCCTCGCCCCTAGGCATTGAAAGCTGTCTACTTCTTCAAGTTGACGGCCATTAATCCCCAAAGGTGCCTTCTATTGGTCAGGGATGTAACTCGAGAATAACTTCGTATTTCCGGAATTTATGGACATACCAACCGACATAGCGATCTCATTTACCCGCGACATTGCAGACTGTGGACCAACAAAGCTTGAGGCTAGCAGCGCAATATCATCGTCGTAGTCGAAATCAGTTAGCCGGCGTCCTCTTCATGTAGAGCCTTCCCGAGAATCCAGTCAATGACGTAGTTAAATAGAATGGGCGACAGGGCGCAGCCCTGTCGGACAACAGACCGGATATCGAACGGTTGAGAGAGATTGTTGTGACCAGAACTCGTGCAGTAGTGGACAGATAGTAGGCCGTAATCATGGCAAGTCCGTATACTTCACTCTATAGGTGGTCCTCATGTAGCAGTAAATAGAATTGTCTTCGTTCTTCTTGTTGTTCAGGAATCGTCTATCCTTACTTTTTGACCATGTGGCCTGGAGACACACGCATCCAAAGTTCGGATAACCTCTAGCTCTTTCGGTGCTACCCGCCGACTCAGTCGTTCCACTGTAAACTCTAACCTTAGCTCTTTCGACAATACCTAATCCGCTTCATTACGCGACCCTTGAAAAAAAATTGATGTTTTCCTTTCATGCAGATTCTAAGGTTTTATGTATGTTAGCTTTCCATGTCCTCCGTTTGGCCGTTACGTAGGTATGCAGTCTGCAAGGCACTGCCTTGTACAAAACGCTCAAAAACTGTTAGACCTCGTTAATACCATCAAAATCTGCAACGTCGGGCTGGGCCGTCAATATACTGAAATTTTATTTCCTCACCTACTAGTAATGCTGCCCCTGAGAAGCTACAACCGCCCATTCGTCTGACTTGATTCCTTCACCACCGACTGTCCGCAGATGTTGGCCGAATAGCTATAAGCTAAGCGAATAAGCTTTCTCTGTTTCTCATCTTCCTAAGAAGCTATCAACCGTCCGGTCCGACTTAACAGAACAGAGACTGTACAGCATAGGCTCAAAACGCTATTTCTACGCGGGCCACACGCAACCTGATCCAACACAACACATCTGGGTCCTTACAAGAAGGGGGTGGGTGGTTCAAATCTTACATGCGTAAACGTTCCATGGAAGAATCCATAGATTCGGTTGGCAATCTTCTAAACCCGGACTTTCAGCTCTTCGTTGTGCTTTCAAGTGCATCAAATTTATTTTGTTGAATAATTTTTGGGAATGCTCACATTCCCATGGTTAGTCATCTCACAGAAAAGCAGGTGCACGGGTTTCCTACGCTGCATACCATTTACCTGCGTTCGACAACGTACTACATTGGCTGTGGCCACAGAGCCCTCGTCAAATCTAATCACTCATGTCCGCGAGAAAGTAACTCAGCCCTTCTAAGACTTCCTTTTAAAGTGGATTGGGCAGAATATAGCCTACCTAAACGGCATGATATTACTACACGCAATCTTTTGGTGATGAGGCATACATTTTATCGTAGATGGTCGTGTTCTCCTTCTGTCTCTTATTAGCTTGGTTGCTCGGCTCTCCTAGAACCGTTCCATAAAGTAGATTGGACAAATTATAACCTATCTGAAATGGATGCTATAAATATGTCCCGTTTTTTAGTGAGGAGAAAATGCAGGATTCTTAAATACACTTCCTCATGACCGATCGTGTTCTCCTTCTCTTCTGTGCTGGTATTTAGGACATCAGTCGGGCGAGTATCCGCTTAATGTGAATTCTAAGTACCAAGACGGGTCCTGATAAAAATGCATTAAAGTCCCATGAGCATGATGCAGTCCCCAGAATCGGCCTCACTGCACCCAGTTCATTGTCTGAACCTGTCAGCCCTCCAGCACTGGCGATTGGCTGCAATTAACCTAAATCTTTAAATATCCCGTCTACGCATGCCACAAGCGGTTTGGTTTTGCGGCACAACGCACTAGGAATTCACAAAAAAACAGGGTAGACTGCCCATAGCCCGCATGCACTAGCGTTCCGCAGGGGTCACATGAAAAAGGTGCCGACAAAAACTCTTCCTTCTTACGTGGATTGTGTCTGTTCCGTTCGTGTGTGGCGTACGGACTGCTCTGTGGTTGTTTGCCGCGAGATTTCATGGAGGTTCATGTGGTGTTGTAG